GGTATCTGTGCTCACACTGTTTTTTCCGAAGGCTTGTTTCATATGAGGAAAGCTTTTATTATGTCTGGAGAAGAGGAGGCTCAGAGGAGACCTCACTGTACTGTACAGCTTCCTGTAGGGAGGTTGTGATGAGGGTTTTGGCCTCTTCTCCCAGGCAACAAACAGGACCCGAGGAAATGGCCGCAAATTGTACCAGAGGAGGTTTAGGTTAGACATAAGGAAGAACTTTTTCTCTCAGAGAGTGGTCAGGCACTGGAATGGCTGCCCAGGGAGGTGGTGGAGTCGCCGTTCCTGGCAGTGTTCAAGAGGATGGATGAGGAGCTACAAGATAAGGTTTAGTGCTTGTGGTGATGGGAGGACGGTCGAACTAGATGATCTTGCAGGTCGTCTCCAACCTTGTGATTCTATGATTCTATAATTCTCTGCCAGTGATACTGTGTACAGAAAGTGCTCTGAATCACAGAATGGTTTGGGCAAAGGGGATCTTACAGACCATTCAGCCCCAACCCCTGCTGTAGGCTGGGTGCCCCTCACCAGCTCAGGCTGCCCAGGGCCCATCCAACCTTGTGCACCTCCAGGAATTGGGGACCCACTGCTCTTGGCAGCAGTGTCAGCACCTCACCCTCCTCTGAGTAAAGAATTTCTGCCTAACATCTAACCAAAATCTTCTATTCAGTGATTTGGTATGCACGTATTTTTAGACAGACAATCAATTTTTGGCTTCAATAGTATGGGGAACTTGTTTAAAGACCGTTACACATCCCTTTTATTTCACAGCTTCTAAAGCACTTTAGATAGTCTGAATAATAAAAGCACTCCCAAAGCAAACAGGCTCCCACCCAAAACAAGAGGAAAATAACAAACAAAAACCACGGGAGATTCCAAAGGGAAAAAGAAAATAAAACAGTGTAACTTTTTGATACAGCTCTTTCTGGTTTTGTACCTGAAATGCTGAGAAAGGAACACAAAGGTTTTGTTATTTGTTTTTGCCTGTTCTTGCTTTGCTTCTAAGAAGATCGCTGTCACCCTCAATCAGTGTTTCAGTTTCCTACGTACTTTAGTAGGGAATGTGAGTTCAAGCAAAGCTTCAGCACTTATTTTCCCCCCAGAATTACACAAGGACGTTGTCGGTAACGTATAAACTCCTGAAAACCCTAGTAAAACCGCAGCGCCTCTGCTCCGTTAATTTGGGTAATGAGAAAAGCCAGCACGGCGATCTTCGAGGCACACAAACCACACGAAGAACTGTAGCCAACCAACCGAGGGCTGCCCGCGGCACGCTTTGCATGGCCCGGCCCAGCCCCGCCCGGAGCCCGCCCAGCACCTGCGGGCAGAGCACCGCCCCGCCCCGCCCCGCTGCCGGCTCGGCGGGCGCCTGCCGCCTCCTTTGAAAGCCGGGCCGGGCGGCGGGGCGGCTGGGTTGCAGCATGAGGCCGCGGGTGAGTTTGGAGTATGTTGCTTGCTTTGCTTTTGGGGGGCTTTTCTGAGGCTTCTGAGTAGATGTAGCTGGCTTTGCTTAGTTGCGCTGGAGTTAATTGGAGTTAACTCTAAGTTTGTGCGCTTGGTGGTGTTTACCTTAATACTCCGCTGTTTTGCAGTGGGTAGTAGTGTTCTTTTATTTGGGTTCGGCTTCTTCTGGCTCGCTGGGGGCGGCTTGTTAGTGGAGCAGCTGGATGTGTGGTTGCCGGTTGCTTCCTACGGTCCGGGCTGTGATAGTGGGGTGCTTCTGAGCTGCTATTCTTGGGCAATAGCGCTGAGAACACTTCTCTTACGGTCCTTGTAGCTTATCTGCTTGTTTGGTTGCCCCTCAAAAAATAGTGATTTATTAATGGTGAACCTCTAAGGCAAGGTATGTTGTGGTGGTGGTGGTGGTATTTTTCCTCTGTTCTAAAGCCCTTTGTAATAAGGAGGAACTAGTGAACTGATTAAACAAAAACTACCTGGGAACTGAGAACTCCTCCCCTCTCTGACAAGTGGCACGTCTCTAAACTTGAAGAGTTACTTTGTGAAGCGCTGTTCAGTACTCTGAGCATATGCTGTTGAAGAATCTCTTTGGGAGTTGATATTTCATGTGTGTTTGGCTTTAGCATATTTTATTATTTCATAATTGACTGGCAATAATAACTATGGAGTTGCCTCATCTGTTTTGGGGCAGGAGTCTTAACTCCCACCTCTCTAGATAGGAGGCTGCAGTGAGAATTGGGGTCTGGAATGTGGTGTCAGTCCTCTGTGGAAGCAGTCTGCAGGACTACCCTCATTTATGTGCTAGTTAAAGAAAAATGAACATGAACTATAAGGGACTCTTTGTGGGGGGAGACATCCATGTGGAATAGCTGTACATTTCAATCTGCCCTTAATGCAGCTCTAACAAAGGCTACAAATACATGTGAATTTAGAATATGTGTACGTTCATACAACTCACTATTTCTGAAATTACTTTGATAGGGAAGAACTGTGTATCTCTTTAGCATGTCTGCCTTGTGTGTAGATGTCTGCTGCAGCTTAGGTATGCAAGTAGGCTTTCTCATTTCGTACTGGTGTTTACTCTTTCTATAAACTGTAAGGTTAGCTTGAACTAGAAATTCCTATATGGTTCTTACTCCTGCCCTGCCCCTTGATCTCCCTCTTGCAGGCCCAGCTGCATCACACAGTGCTAAGCAGGGCTCTGGTGGTAGCAGCCTTTGAAAACTGCCTGGGTGTCTCTTTAGAAATAGAACTTTAATGCACGAGCTGGCTGTGCTCGTTTATAGAATTACTGTTTCCAATAATATCCCTGCTGATCTCATGAGAAAGATAAAAAATAAACAGTAATGAAAAAGATGCTGGATTTGTTCCAAATGAAATAGAACAGTGATTTTTCTTCTCAAAACTCTCCTCCCCCCCTTCTCTTCCCCCTCCCTCCACTTTCTTATCACCGTATAACCCCATTAGATTAGGGCAGGAGGGGACATGATCTGTATCTTGATCTCCTCACAGAACTTTTATGAGTACAGTTTCCCTCATAAAACTATTCCATCGTTCTGAAAGACTGAAGTTCTCTTCCTCCTTATTTCATAGAATTATAGAATGGTCTGGATTGAGAAGGACCACAATGATCATCTATTTTCAACCCCCCTGCTGTGCAGGGTTGCTAGCCACCAGACCAGGCTGCCCAAAGCTACATCCAGCCTGGCCTTGAATGCCTCCAGGAATGGGGTATCCACAATCTCCTTGGGCAAACTTGCATTCTGAAAAGAACCTTTTTGAAAGCGGTCTCGTTACTATCCAATAATGATCAAGAAGTGTGCTGCTAACTTCTCCGCTGAGTTCTGTGACTGTACAAACACACCCCTTGTATAGCAGCAGGCCTTGAGAGTAAGACTCCTGCCATGCAGTAGGTGCTGATACCAGGCTCCCCTTCCTGGGTGCACCCCTCATGGCTGAGCTGTGCAGTACTCAACCCAGGGATGGGATGGGCAGCTTTCACGGGGTTAACTATGTTCACTTTTCCACTCCCAGGTACGGTGCTTCAAAGAATAATGTTCTGAACTAAGGTGAGAACAGCATTTCATGTATATCTAAACTATTCTGAATGACGGCTAGTAGCCTTTCCCTTTTTTTCCTTCTGTCCTTTTTTTTAAAGAGTGTTTTGGAATTTAATAAGGGAAAGTTGGGGTAGGAGGAGGGCAGGAAAAAACCCGCTATCTAGAATTTGCTTGATGCCTTTACCTGTAGCAAAACAAAACGCATATAATTTACTCCCATAACTGTAGCTTGTGTTCTGCTACTCCATCTGTCAGCCGTTGTATATCATCTTCAGTTAAAACCTGCCTCTGCTAAGATGCCTGCAACTAAGTACGCAGTTAAGCTTGGGCACGTGTCTTTGTAAGGAATTAGGAGCAGCCCCCTGCTCCCCGCACAGCCTCTGGTGTTCCTTTAGGTCTGGTTGAAGGATGCATTGCCCAGGAAGTGGGTGATAGGGCAGCGAGTGGCAGAGCAGGTGGTAATGAGGATCGCTGTGACATACATGGCAGGATTCTTCCGTTCGTTGCCACAGGTGTACGCGTGTCCGTGTAGCAACGGAACAGCAGCGGTCTGCGTACGTTGCTTATCTCGTAACACGCCGCTCACGTTAGGCCTGCAGAGGGGAACGTCTAAAATCCGCTGCCGGGTGCGGCCGTGCGGCGGGGCAGGCCGCCTGGGCCAGGTGGCCGCTGCCTGCCGGAGCTGAGTGGCCGCAGTTCAGGTGCGCCGCGGCCAGCGCCGGTTTCGGTGTGGGCGAGCCGCCCGCTTCCCCCGCCCCCACCGATCACATGCCTGCCGCGCTGGAAGGCTCCCAACAGAATGATGTGGATTGGTTTATTTATTTATTTATTTTTAACGCCAGCGTGGCCGAGCGGGGGCTTTCCGCGTCACTCGGCCTTCGGCGGGCCGGGTGCCGGCAGCCAGAGTTCCGGCCGAGCCGTTCCCCGAAGGCGCGGGGGCACCGCGCTCCCCGCGGCCGCCGCCGGGCCCGCCCGTCCCTCCCGGCGCGGCGGTGCGGGGACCGCGCGCGCGCAGAGGCGGCGCCGCCACACCACTACCGTTAGCGCGGGGGCCGGGCGGCGGCCGCGCCGGTTTTTCCGGCCCGCGGCGCGGTGAGTCACCGCTCGGCGATGGGGCGGGCGCCCGAGTGATGTCGGGGGCGAACGGCGAGCATGAGGCCGACGGCAACGGCCGCGGCAACGGCCGCCGCGCGCCGCCTCGAAGCCGCCTCCGACCGCGGCGGCGCTGAGGCGGCGGCGGGGCCGCTCTGCCGAGTGCCGCCTCCCTGACGCCCTCGGCGCCGGGCCGCTCGGCCGGGGAGGAGAAGCCCAAAGAGAAGGCGGAGGGGCGGCGAACTTTCCCGCCGCCGCTGCCCGCTGTGGGAGTGTCCGGCCGCCGGCGGAGCCCCGAGTTTCGCAGCCGCCTCCGGAGGGGGAAGTGCCCGCGGCGCCGCTCCGCTCAGTTGGGAGCGGCACAGGTGGAGGAGCGAGGCGCGGACCCGAATCTGCGCTGCCGCCTGCGTGCGGCTCAGCGGAGAGACGCTCCCGGTGCGTTGTGCCGAAGGCCCTCGGCAGCAGGGAGAGCGCCCGCCGCCTGGGTTTCTCGTGGAGGTACGTGTGCAGGCGGCGCGCCCGGCTTACGGCCGAAACTGAGTGCTTGGAGAGGGCTGCGAGTGCCCGCCCCGTAGGACCGAGGGCTTGGGATTGCCTGATTGCAGCTCTGCGAGGTTCGGGCTCGGTGCACGTTCGTAACGGTATAAAGGTGCGCGGCTGTAGTCTGGCCGATGCTGGCTCCATCGAAGCCAGGCTTCAACTTCGTGAAGCGCGGCTGAACTTCACTTCTTGCCGGGTTGACACGGTACTTTTCCACCGGCCTTGCGTGGCTTCAGGCTTCGGCTTGGCTCAAAATGTGTGTGAAAAGTAGCTCATCTTCTGGGCAGGCTTAAGTAAACAAATCCTAGAATACAATGTGGACGAGCTGTTCTGTTTAAACCGTTTGTTTGCTCTTCCTTTTCTAAAGGACGCCTATTCAATGTAGATCTCCCTCCTTGAGCTACTGAGCTTTGTATGAGCTAACAGCTGTTAATTACGCAGGTGAATGTCTGATTATTATACGCGTCTCAATGTATGCTGCTTTTCAGAATGTGCGGGGCTTACCGAGTTTTACTCCAAGGTGTATTTATTAAATTGGTTTGCAGAAAGCCTGAATTATTTAGTGTTCGTTTTTAATGCATTGTATGGCTATTATTTGAGTAGGCGTTTTTTCATTACTTTTTAAATGAAGCTTTAACTTAGCTGATTGAGGGCTTGTTTTACTGTAGAGATCAATGCAATTACTTGCATCTTTTTCTTTTGGCATAGGACTTACTTTGATTTTCAGTAGGGAAAGGTGTAATCGAAAACACGCTTGTCTCAGTCCTTCTGAAAAATGTTCAACAATACCATGTGTAACGTGCAGTCACAAAGGTATTTGAGGAAAGTCGAAGTAGAGGAGGGAGGCAAGTTGAGTAAAATTGTAAGGTGATGACAGTGGTTTGTAGATAAAGGTCCCTAATGAGATTGGACTGTCCTTGAAGTGAGCTCAAACAGAAATCAATGGGGAAAATGAGAATTTGAGGTGGGTGAAAATTGATTTATTTTTCTTTTTTCCTCTTACTCTCAGGCTGGTAGTCTGAATCCAGAGTAACTTTATGTACCTCTGTATTTTAAATAATGAGCTATGGCTGGCATGTTGATGGGCATCTATTTCTTAGGTCATGAAAGCGCCTTGTGATTAGTGGTGTAAGATATGAAAGTCATGGTCTGGCTCTAACAATCCTGTTTTCCTGAGCTACTTTCCAAATGAATTTAAAACTTGCTCTCTAAGAAGACATCGGGAGTATAGGGTCATGTATGTAGTGTTATAAAAGGCTTCCTACTTCTGTTTCAATTTAAAGAAAAAGCCACAAAACTCCTTTCCCTGTCAGTAGAGGAGCTGAATGACAGATCTCACTTAAAGTATTTTACCTTCTGTGTTTGTATACCCAATAGAAGTGTAAAAACTGATGTACTGATTTCTATTTTGAAGGATTAGTTTTAAAAAAAAAAAAAAAAAAAAAAAAAAGGAACAAGTGATAGACTTCAAAAATGTGTAGTTTTGCTTGCAAGGTTGAGAAGATGTTTAAGAAGGCTTTAAAATGAATGTCTCCTCATAGAAAACAAATTTGAAGATGCAGCTATTTGTAACAATTTGGATTTGTTTTTTTATTTTGATGGGCTATTGACCTACAATGGTCTTTGATGCTATTTGTGGGGAGCGTACAATACAGATGCTGTTAGGTTTTATTCAGTATGGGTATGGTATTGCAGTAGTCTCAACAGATGCTGGGAAGATTAGTGCAACACTAGATCCACTGTCTGCAGCAATCTGTCTGCTGGGAGGATGGATGGTCTGTACCATGGACACCACTGTCCCAGAAGATGCTGCGGGACACCAGCATGTCAGGCACCAAAGCACTGCTGTCCTAGCAGATGCTGAAGATCTTAAGGCCTACCAGTGGGGAAGGTTTAGCTAATACAGATAGCTCTGTTTTGTGTAATCTGCGCCTGTTCAAAAGACGTTCCTTAAATGTACTGAATCCTACTTTTCAGTAAGGCTCTGAAACCCTAATATCTCAGATGACTCCTGTGCCAGGGTGCTTGCTTTGCTGCTTCTCCTGCCCCAAATAGCTGTTGTGTGAGGATGCATAATACAGAGAGTATGGTATTTCTGGTGATTACAAGTGGTTTTGGAAGTCCCCGATGTAGCTATTGAGTTCTGATAGGACAAAAGCCCTTTCTGAAAGCAAATCAGATTCAGCAAAACTCATTGCCCTCTAGGTAGCATATGCTGTACCTTTAACAAAAGGGAATTGCTGTGCCTTGAGGCCGTGCTTATGGTACCTGAGGTAAGCTTCCCGCTTTACTGTTGTTGTCCCTCTGGCAATAAAATATTTACTTTTAATTTATTCTATGAATGAGGAAATTAAGTAGTTTGTCAGAGGTTCTGAACTGTTGAGTTAATAATTGAAAATACAGTGGTTCTTAATAAAACACTGGGTCTAAATCTGAAAGGATGAAATTCTTGACCAAGGCTAACTCACAGGAAAACTCAATAGAATTCATGAAATTTGTCCAGATAAAATACTGTTTCCCACATGTCTGAATGCAGAGAAGAGCATTCTGTTCACTTGCAGATATCGAGCAAAAAGCGGGTCTCTTGCTTTCATTCAGTTTATCTAGATTAGTTTGCCATAACATCTTTTTCAAGGAATCCCTCTAATTCTGTATAGACTTAGTGAACAGAAACTCAGTTGTTGCTATCAGTGGACCTGTGGTACTTCCAGAAGGTGAGTTTTGCTGGCACCAACCAGGGTCTTAATAGCACTTGCTTTTAGAGTTAACCTTTAGCTGCTCCCTGCTGAAGCCTTCTATCTCCTTTTCTCTCTGTGTACTGGGATTTCCTTAAGGCTGACTCTCTTTCTGTGATCCTTGGCAACACAGTGAGCTTCGCGCTAAGCAGTGCAGTGTTTTCATGTCTATGGTTACCAAAGCAAGGTGGACTTGTGTCGTAAGCCTATTCCTCCTTGAGAAAAGGTGCTGAGCCTCTTGGGCGCAGTGCTGAATGTTTTGGGAAGTTGCATCAGCATAACGGATTCAAACTGAACTCCTGCAGAGCATTTACAGATATTTATCTAAGAATGACTGAACATAAAATGGATTCATTCAGAATTAATTTTGATGTAGCAATAATAAATCCCGAATCTGTAAATGAAGTGTGTACAGTTGAATTTGTAATCTTTTGTAGCCTTAACAGAGCGCAGGACTGTCCAGCTTCCATCAAGTCTCTGGCAGGGAACCGTTTAGAACCCAGATGGGGAAAGGTCTTGAACTGAGACACAGGACATTTCGGTTAGATATTAAGAGGAAGTTCTTCAACTCAGAGTGGTGACGCACTGGAACAGGTTGCCCAAGGAGGTTGTGGATGCCCCATCTCTGCAGGCATTCAAGGCCAGGCTGGATGTGGGTCTGGGCAGCCTGGTCTGGTGGTTGGCGACCCTGCACACAGCAGGGTGTTGAAACTAGATGATCATTGTGGTCCTTTTCAACCCAGGCCATTCTAGGTTTCTGTGGTTCTATGAACTTTTGAGATTTAGCTTCAAGCCTTTGGCAAAAGGCTATGTTTTTCCGTTATTGAAGTGCTATTACAAGTGTCTTGGCATGTTACCTCTTCAGTATTTCTTTAATAGAACACCTGCATCCATAGAAATGCTTTTATTAAGAAGTCATCTGTTTTTACTGCTTATATTCTGGTTCAAGTAAGCTGGGTTTTTTTGTCTTTGTATTTTTAGCATTTGCTCTTACCCTGCTAAGCCTCTTAAGATCTTAAACTGTTGTTTGAGGAGAGTTGACTAGCTTCTCACATCTAGTGGTGTGAAATGTACATAACAGCAGCAAAATATTTACTTGTGCACACACCCCGGTTCCTGCTCGTGTGTGCTCATGTGCTGGGTAGATGGCTAGTGGAGCAACTGTTCGGAATCTCCTTGTTTTAAGGAGCAAAACTTGGTGAAGAGAAAACAGCGGACATGCCTCGGTTTTAATTGCCTTCCGTGTGGAGGACATGATACACTGTATGCCTGGTTGATATTTCTAATAAATTTCTACAGTAATCACTGCTCATCTGATTCTTGTCCTTCCCCCACATCAACCTTGTGAATGGGAAACGGCGCTTGCTGTTTGTAGCTGCTTTATAAGGGTGCCAAGTACCACTGCCCGTGTCTCAGTTTGAGGCTGAACACAGGCTGTATTGAAGCAAACTGTTCTCATCGCTGCCGCTGCCTCAAAAGGACATTTTAAAAAGCTGGAATGCTGTGTTACTGTCTTAGTACTGCTGAGAACATGCTTAATGTAGTATAGTAGCATTCTGTCATCTGATTCTCTGCCAGTTATTCTGGTTTAAATTTGTGTATTGTAATTTCAACGTAAAAATAAGCCTTTAAAACTGGAAACTTTGGAAGCATCCTTTTTTCTTTTGTTCATTGTGGAGAGAAATTAAGAACAGTAGGTGTACTTTAGAGTAGCTTGTACTTCCAGTAACCAATCTACTTCAGGTGTGTATAGAAGCTATTAATATCTCAGAGTGCCACATGTAGCTGGGAAGTTTGTGTTACTTTTAGTTCCTGTGTGTTAGGACCCTGGCAAAATTCCTACCTGTTTGTTTTCTTATTTTCATAATACTGCACTGATCCGTAAGGATGCTGTGTTGCAGTTGTAACGAAACCTTTTTTAACAGTGCTATTCTTAAATGGGGGGGGAAGGGGGAAACAAACAACAAAACACATCTTGTCTTCACTGGTTTTCACTGAATTTGTATGCTGTTTTGGGCATGTTACTTAATGAGAATTAATTCCTGTCTTCCAGCATACCACCTTGGTCTTGTAAAGGCTTATTGTGATTGGAAAACTTGGCTTTATTTGATGAGTACCAAGGTTACACTTGCTCATCTGCTTGTTGAATAAGTGCAGATGTTCAGTCTGCTGAGTTCTCATGGAATTACTTTGTTTCACTACATATTTGTATTTGGGGGGGAA